AGGTTGTATTTTTACTGTCAGGCTATATTATCTTTTACATTTGATAGTTAAACTGACAGTTTGCTTTCCTCACCTCCACATCCTGAAGAAAAGCCCTAACACTGAGGAAAGAGACTTGAACAGGAGCATTGAGTTTGGCTTCGGCAGTGTCCAGCAGCTCTTTCAAGGCCCAAATAGCCTTCAAGTGTTCTTTTCTCCACTTCTCCAACTCATCTGAATGGGCATACTGCAGCAAAAAAGAAGCTAATTACACTTTACACTGAGAAACGAATCAAACAGAGCCATCACATATGTTTTGACCCAATTTTGTCTTTGTCTGACAGGCAGTATTTTTAGATGTTTTCATTCATTACTTGTTTGACTTTGAGGAAGAGGTCTCTCCATCGCCCGTTTAAAATGAGTAGCTGCTGCTTGAGATCAAGTGACACTGTCTCGTCACACGTTTCAATAAGAAAATTCCCTGCATCGTTCATGGCTGCATGCTGATCCATCCAGTGGCTGAGATCCCTGAAAAACTCCTGGAAGACAAAGAAATTAAGAGAAACAAAGAGCGAGTGTCAAAGAAAGAGATGAAGAAAGCTAATCAAAAAAGGAACAAAGAAAGTGATTCAAAGAAAGAAACAAAGGAAGGACAATAAAAAAGTGGGGTAATTAGATGTCTAATCCTAGACGGAGATGTGAGTCTGTGTAACCATGGCAATGCAACAACAGGAATATCCTCAGCGGCTTGTTGTAGGATCATTTGATACTTGAGTGGAGACTCCTAATAAGCTTCCACATAAAAAATCTAAATTCTTCAAAATGGCTTGATTGCTACAATTAAATCTGAGTCCATCAAATAAATGGGTGTATGAGCAGGCTCCTAATCTGTTCACAGAAAATAAAAATAAAAATCAAAGGCTCAGACAGTATTAAGATCTAATCTCATACCCGTTTTGTGTTTTCTGGCTGGCTCAGGGCTTCCTCTGCATCTTCCAGCCAGGCCTGCAAAGAGGCCACAGTGGAGGTGTACCTCTCCCAGTTGGACAGCACTTCCTCCAACATGCTCCTTACGCTGCGCACTTCCATGGACAGGCTCCTCCACTGAGTCACTACCTCCCGCATGAACCTGCGCACTCCCATCTCGCCTTCATCCACTGGAAGAGAGGTAAAGTTTAACAAGAATGACAGCTACCGACAACACCACCATTACCTCTGATTCTGCTGCCGCTAATAATGTCACTTATTCACAAGAGTCAAATGAAAAATGAAGCACTGAAGCAGCTGTTTTGGAGCTGCAGCTGTACCTTTTATGTCTGTGTGTGCCTGATGACTTTCACTGCTTTGTTTCACATCACCACACTTTGGCAAAGGCAGAGGAACACTCGATAGAGCAAAAGGAGGCACACGCTTTTGCAGAAAACTCCCTGACCCCAAAAACTCACTACAAGGAGATGTATCATCTGTGCTTGTGCTACATTCTTAGATGCAAACTCTCTAGTTGTTAGAGTATGTGCAAAACAATGGCATAAAGACACACATCAGATAAATGCGATGCTTCTAAAATGGAAGACAAAAAACAGATCAGTACCCTAACCCTTTTCCTTATTTTTCTCAGGCAGCCAATCAGAAACCACGATGCTAACTACAGTACCAGCAGGACCTGCTGCATTTCATTTGTGGGGTCGACCAATCAAACCTCAGATGTCCTGATTTCTCACCACACCTCACTTCTCTGCTCTGCATACCCTAAAGCAATGCAACCCTGAAACCTAATGAAACCAACAAGCTAACTCAGTTTGCGCCCAGAGACCTGCAGAAGTGGAGCAGCCCCCCAACTAGCAAATGGGGTCGTATTCCCTACTGAGAGCAGAGAGTGGAGGAACCTCATTTAGCTGTAGCCTGCAGACTCTCCTCCTCTATCAAATTGTGAAACCAGTCAGGGGCAAACTGAGCTGCTGGCAGGGAAAGCCTCATTGGTTAGTGAGTTGTTGAAAAGGGAAATAAAGTTGAAATATAGTGAACAATTGAGAGATACTGATCTCAGCCAGGATACACTGGAAGTATCAGATCAATTTCAGATTAAAGTTCCATTAAAAGGATGAGAATGCATTGGAAATGTGACATAATAATGATGTTCCCAATCAATGAGCAGGACTGCTTTATTGCATTGTTGGACATTTTATGTGATTCTGACATCATCGCAATAAAGCGCCTTTCAGATTACTGTCTGGCCAGGATATTGATAAACATTTCCCAGACTTCCCGGGAGAATTACTGAATTACTTTATTATAAGAAAGTGATAGGAATGCTTATATATACATATAGTAAATATTACACCTTGAACTACTCACCTGAGCTGTCAGCATTCACATAGGCCTCTGCAGACAGTTTCAGAGACTGGAACAACATCTCATAGTTTTCAAAGAAACGCTGCTTCTCCACGAATGACTGATGAAGACAGATTCCAAAAGAAAATGTTATTAGATGTGAAAAGCATCTTAACAGATACACAGAAACAGAACTAAATATCTTATACATGTGCTATGTAATGGTAACTATCCTTCATCAACCAATAATTATTATGCAATATACAAAAATTAATTAAAATGCAGGTGAAGGAGAGACTGAGCTTACGATATAGCTGTGAAGCATCAGTTCCACAGATTCCTGTTGACCGTATTTGATGATCCAGGACTTTAGTTTGGACTCAGCCAGACTGAGGAAGGCCTGCATGTGATGTTTGTTCTCCAGAAATTCCATTTTTGCTAAGTGGATGCTAGAAGATGTAGAGATAAAGTTCATCCTAAAAAAGACACAGTTCATACAGGGACATCAGACCTA